CCCACTCCAGCAACCCTCAGTTTGTTTCCTGAGATTAAGAATTCCTCCTATCAGTGAGGTCATATGATACATGTCTTTCTCTGTTTGACTTATTTCAAGAGCTCTGATTTTTAAATGTTTTGTTTACTGTCAAACATGCAGCACTGAAAAGGCAAGGCACACGGGAGCTCGATCAACAACTGCACAATGAACGAGTCAATGAACGAATCCTGTCCCTGCCCCTATAACCACTCAGTAAATGCCAGCTACCGTTATTTCTCCCATTAAATCTTGTATTTCTTCTGTGTTTGCACCTTCCCTCTGGCTTCTTATTTACCCAGGACAGAAATCTCCATCTCCGCAATGCTTGCAGCCATCCTCAAGCAGTGGTCACATCTTATCTCAGAGTGCAGACACACCTGTCTGTCCTAGTGTCACCAGCGCCACCACCCGGATGTGGGTTCTCCATCAGCTCTCATCTGGATCATGACGGCAAGCTCCGAGCCCCCTCTCTGCTCTCCAGGCCCTTCCCCACTCTCCACGATATGCTGTGGCCAGCGAGGCACTGAGGTGCAAGAGTGAAAGAGGCTTTGAGGGGGTTGGGGGTACTGCTGTGACCCTGGGGAGGGCGCCTCCTTAAATTCTGTGCCCTCAGCGTTTCACCTGTCCCACGGTGGTCTTGACCATGACCCATGGAGTCTGGCTAGGAAGTCACTTCTCTACTCCTTCACGGGCTCACACCTGCTAAAGTGACAAGTTGCAACTAGGCCTCAAAACACCTTGGACCTTAACTTGCACTATTCCCTCCAAACTCGCTAGCCAAACCCAACTATTCACACTACCTTTAACAGGCCCCAGGCTTTCCACCTGCAAGTGTTTGCGTACGCCGTTGCCATTGCCTCTTACCAGCTCCCAAAGAGCCAAAGTGTGCCCCTTCCTCCACAGGCCAGCTCAAGTGCAGTTACAGCCATGCAGTGCACCAGCCTCTCCGGAGCTCCCGCTGTACTGGCTGCCTCACGGATTTCTCTGAGCTTTTTCACTTGGTTCCAGCAAACTTCAGGAGTCCTGGCAGATTCAGTCAGTATCCAGCTGAGTAAATGAATTCACCAACGGAACTGTGGTATACAGAGCCTCTATTCTACTCTATTAAGGACCTGGGGCAGGTACTTAACCTACAGGCCAGTTTTCTACCAGAGGTGAGGTGTGGTGTACAGCCCCATAATCACTTTTTCAAATGACATTTCAGTCAAGCCAGGCTTTGCAGTCTAAGGGCAAGTAATGGTGTAGAAGAGCAAAGGACAGCTCAGGGTGCAGCCTCTGGCTGCAGTTAGCCCTGCAGCAGTTCTGACAGCCAAGCCATTCCTGCCCCACCATCCCCTCCCTAAGAGGACCAGTTACTCTTACTCAAGTTTAGGGCCACCCAGAAGATGCGGTGGCTGGATTCTAAAGCACAGAAAGTCTTTGGCACACCCTGGCTCGTGGGGGAACTCCTGCCATACCCCACCCACCCAAATTAAGATAAAGCTGGAGGTCCAAAGCTGGATCAGCTGTTGGTCCCCCCCGTGGCCACCAGAGGGCAGTGCAATCTTGTATGCCAGGAGATTTCCGTGGAGGCAGGAGGATTTGACTCCACTCTCGGCTAGGTTGGGAGGCCTGGCTCCAGGTCTTCAGAGTCACCTTAGGCTTTTAAGGCACTGATCCTAACCAGGGCATATACCTCATAAACACCTGGGAGTCTTCCACCCTAGAACACTCTGGTGCAGACAGCTGGAGTCGGGCCCAAGGACTGTGCATTTTGAAAATGTTCCTCGTGGAATTCCAATGTACCCAGAATCTAGAAGAGGCTAATTCTCAACATGCTTCCCAGCCCTGCTCCCTCAGCCTTCAGCTCAGGATGGCCTCCATCTGTGGAGGCTGCACCAACGGCACAGGAGTAAAAAGTAAAGTTGGAAGAGGTAGCACAGGGATGTGGGTGAGGAGAGGTGAAGTCTGGAAACCATGACATGCTGGGAGGACATATCATGGGAGCACAGTGGAAGAGCCCAGCTCGAGAAGAGAGGCCTGGCCCCAAGCCTGACTCTTACTGTGCCCAGTCGCTATTTGATTTGGGGTTCATCATTTACCCGTCTCTGGGCCTCAGTGTCCTCATCTGGAAATTAGGTTCAGAATACTTCAATGCCCTAGGCATGTTGTAGATAATCCCGCCACGATACACATAAAAGTGTAAGGTACTATACAGATTCAAAGAGTCATCATAAAGAAACTGAGTGGCTTTCAACTAATTAGAAACTCAGGCCTGTTCCACTAGAGTCAACAGGTACAGATCAAACCACCATATGACACAAACATCTACGATGGACTGAGACTAGGGAGGGGGAGACTGAGCCCAAAGCTCCCTTCCAGGACTTAGGTTCCCTAAATGCAAAGCCCAGATCTGGGGCATAGGAGGCTGCGCCAAACACCTACCTCTCTCCCCACTTGCCAGGAAGTAGCTGCAGCGGTTGCCATCTGTCTGCAGCCCATCATCGTGGTCCTCCTGCAGGTAAGCCGGCATGGGCAGTTCACGGCCCAGCACCTCCAACTCTTTGTGGAAATTAGAGTTGGAGCAGTTTTGGAGGAAGCCAAACACCAGCAAGTTTGTGATGCGCTCATCCTGGAGGCCTGAACCGTTGCTGACCTAAGATAAAAAGGGAGTCAGGGAGATGTGCAGGAACCCGGTCCAGGGCCAGAGGACCTGTCTGCAGCTGAGCTTGGCGGAAGGGCTCTGGGGACAGCTGGGCCTGAAATATCTTACTGGCCTAAGATGTCCGAACGACCCTGTGGTCGCAAGAGGACCCAGTGGGCAGAGGCCAAGTCTGCAGTGTCTGCTTCAAGCAGTGCCCCCAGTAGGTGCCAAAGAAAAAGCTCCGATTCTGCAGACATTTGCATGACATCCTGAAAACACTGAGCTGAGGTGAGCTTGCTTTCGGAGGAGGAAGTTCCAAAGGCTGTTTTAGGGAAGTCAGCAAATATCATTACATCCTTACACTTACATGCTCCTGCTAACTCCCATGTATCCTTTAGCAACTTCAGCTCACCCTACCAGCTATGCATCCAGCAGTTAGAAGCTCTTTCTTTTTCATAATCTCCTTTGTGGGCTAAGATGGTATTGTGCACCCAGCTGATTTTCCATAAATCCTGGGCAGTAGTGACTGCAGATAATGCCTCCCTTTGGGCAGGCTTGGCTTGCTTCGGGAGGATATGCCCCTTAACCACAATCCGGCTGTATGAGGATGACTCCCGCTCTAATGCGAGGGATTGGGGGCTCTGCCCGCCAGCTCCGTCCGCCATCACCACTTGCCGTGGGAGCTCAGCTCAGCATCTGTGCTCTGGGAGCCAGGAGGGACGTTTCTGGGGTTACTGACTGCACCTGGGTCAGTGTTCTTGGCAAACAAAGGTGAGTGCTTGTACCACCAGCAGCCAGCTGTGCTCAGAGCAAGCCAAGACCTAGGATGAAAGAGGGAATCATCCAGAAGGCTAGGGATACTGAGATCTCCCAGGTAAATGTAACACACACACATACTCGGCTGTAAGAGAAGCTCAGCAGAAGATGAAGGTGCCGATAACATTTATTTGCCTTCTAAGTCCTGAATATTTTTCATTTAAAAAATTCAGAAACCTTGGGCGCCTGGGTGGCTCAGTTGGTTAAGCGACTGCCTTCGGCTCAGGTCATGATCCTGGAGTCCCGGGATCGAGTCCCACATCAGGC